GGTGTGGAGACTGTGCTAGCCAGGATTCTACGGTACCTACACTTCTTCATGTCTTGTTGTTGTGTTGTTGTTGTTGTTGTTGTTGTGGTTGTTGTAGCTGTTGGTGTTGTTATTGGTGGTGGTAGTAGAAGTGGTGTCGGTGGAGGTGTTGGTGTTGTTGTTGTTGTTGTTGTTGTTGTTGTTGTTGATATTGTTGTTGTTGGTGGTGGTGTTTTCAAAGTAGACAAAGAGATTTAATAGAACGTTCCCTCCGACACGCCACAGACACCACAGCACGACAAAGGAGCTGTCGGTGCGGCTCAAATCTACGTACGTCCTGGTCGATAGAGTACGGTATCCCCAAAGCTCGTTACTTCCGGCTTGTTTTCAGACACCATATTATCATTATCACGAATTTGGCTTTCTAGACTTGGTTCACATAAAACGTAAAATGTCTCCAAAGCACATTACTTTCGATGAGTTAAAGACAGCATAAAATCACCAACTCAGCATGGCTGATTTGTTTTCACATTTTACATTTTAAAATGTTAAAATGTCTCCAAAGCGTGTTGCTCTCGAGATGTTTCAAAACACCTTATCATGGTAGGTTCGGTTCATATTTTACATCCTGTTCGTTTAATGTAAATGTCTCCTCCAAAACGCGTTACTCTCCAGATGTTTCAAACACATTATCGTGGGTCGTTGGCGGGTGCTATGGTGTAGTTTGCTCCTTCTTTCCTATAAAAAATCCATCGTCTCTATCTCCCCTCCTCCTTTTTTGTGTTTGTTACTCTCTTGTAACACCTCTAAACTTCTGGCGCTCATATGACCTTATGCAGTTGCGCCGTAAAACTTTTTTTAAAAACCCACCTTATCATGGTAGGTTTTGTTCACATTTTACATCCAGTTCAATAAAATGTCTCCAAAGCGTGTTCCTCTCCACATGTTTCAGATACGACATCAAGACAAAGACGATGAGCATGTGGTCCGACAACCTACCAGCGGTGGTGGACAACCTGCGATACAGTGAAACCACAGGTACGCTCGCCCTTAGGCCGGTCCCAGAGTGGCTCTGTAGGTCTGACCTGAGGCTCGCCTGGCTCGCACGGTACAAATGAATGTATACATTATCGTGTGCTTAAGCAGCGTGACTGTGTCGTCTGTTTTTTGTCAGCTAAGCTGCGCGAAGCGTCAGACGTGCT